CATAAGCAGTAACCTTTTCAAATATTGTTAAAAGATTTGTAAGGCAAGATTTTCCCTTAGTGAAATCATGCTGACTGTCCAATAAAATTCTAAGCTGGATGCAGTTTTAATGATACAAGTATTCAAGACATATCCTCTTACCCAAATCCTCTCTAGGTGATATTCTCAAGGAAAAAAAAAAGACCACAGGATGTACTAATTAAAGATTCTAATCCTACTACTGTTACTAGTGGTAACGCTAATAGCATTTTAGGGTTTATTTATAGACATACTAATTACAAGTCTATAAATCAGTAGTCAGGCCTCATTTGAAATACTGTGTACAGTTTTCACCTAGGTATTTAAGAAAGGATATTGACTTACTGGTAAAAGTTTGTAGAAGGGCTACTAGGGATGATTCATGGAATAAAAGAGGGATTGTGAAAATCTTTCTTTTGAGAAAAAAGAACAAGTGTTGATTTTATTGAAGTTTATAATTATAATAAATGTAAGATAATGCATGTGGGTCATCATAATTTGAATTTTACATAGTGATATGAAAGTAAGAGATATTGGTGTAGTAGTTCATAAGTTTCTTATGCCATCCAAGCAGTGTGCTGTTGTTAGTGGTAGGGGAAATAGGATTTTAGGTTGTATCTGCAGAAATATTGAATACAAACCTAAAGAAGTTATAATTTCATTGTATGGATCACTTTTTAGTCCACATTTGGAATATTGTGTTCAGTCTTGGGCCCCTTACCTTAGGAAAGACATTGAATTCTTAGGGAGGATTCAGAGGAGGGCTACTAAAATAGTTCCTGGGATGAAGGGGATGTCATATGAGGTGAGGTTAAGATCTCTCAAATTGTTTCCTCTTGAGAAAAGAAAGGTTAGAGGGGGGGGATCTGATTGAGGTATTTAAGATTGTTAAGAGAATTGATAGTATCAATGTATCATTTTTTTATTTATACTTGATGGTGAGAATGGTAGGACTAAGGAACACAATTATAAATTGTGACAGAGTAGAAATCATCTTCGGTTCAGGCAGGATTTTTTTCTAAAAGGTTAGTTGGTTTTTAAAATACAGGTTGCCTTTGGATGTTGTGGAGGCAGTAAATTTAAGTGAGTTTAAGCTAAAGTTTAAGCACAATTTTTCTCTCTTTTGAAAGTTTAATTTTCCAGATCTAATTATACTGCCCCTTAACTATGCCCCTTTCTCACCACAATCTTCACCATAACTACTAGTATTTAAAGTTGGTCTAACGAATGGTATGAAAACAATTTTGATAAGAATTGTACCATTGAAATACTTATCAGTAAACTGTATAACATGACATTGAAAAAAAACATTTAATAATTAATTGTGAAAGTAAAGTATTTGAGACTA